ATAATGAAATGATGAGTCAATAAAGATAAAAAGCCCTCAAGAATTTTCTATGAGATAAAATGTTCCATTCTTTATTAGTGTTGACAAACTTATAGAGATTTCAGCCAGAAGCAATTTTAGCAACATTTTGAAACTAATCAATTAACTTAACTCACTCAGATCAATTTTTTTATGAAAGGGGAATATTGTATAAGCGATAAATTGAATATCATAAAATCATCTTCATTGGCAGTGTATTATAGTTAGTCTGTGCTTCAGATAGAGAGAGGGTTTTTATTGGTTTTATGTATGTAGTTAATGCCAGTTCACTGGTGAGTTATTGTATGATACCAAATCACTGGGGTGAGGTAGTATGACCAGGTAGAATTTATTCTACAATATCTAAATTAAGAGAGAGATAGATGGGGTTTAACATCCACTCGACACAAACTAGGTCATTTCGGAATATATGGTTCAATTTTATTTTAATAATTTGCTTGTGTGTAGGGGTCTTTAGCAGTGGGAGGAAACAAGAGGAACCAGAAAAAACCCACAAGGTTGGAATCTAAATTAAGAATTAGATAATTGTTAAATTAACTAATGGCTGCCATTTTGAGATTAAGCAGTAACCTAATAGATGTCAACTCGATCTGTAATTATATTAGAGAGACATTGTTTTATAAATTATAATCTTAGTTGTAATTAGACATTTTAGATATTAAGGATTATAAAGTTAGTGTTACTAGGAAACAATGCTAAAGTAAGACCTGAAAATTATATGTTGTTATGGAAGTTTTAAGTTGACCACAGGCAGGCAATAAGATATACTGAAGGGCAGGTCTCTGATAAGTTATTTCTAAGATGCTGTTCCTTATTAAGTTACCTGTTGGTCATTATTGTATATTATTATTGTTATCAGTGTTGTTATCCAGAATATAGAATTATATCAAGAAGAAGTGAGTTCTTCAATTATTGTATGTTCACTCTTGCATCCCCAACTTGATTGAACATGCAACCCATCGTCTAAAGTGGTGGACACACTAGCCGAATGATTCGGCCGAATCAATCGGCGTCGAAATTCGCCTAATGTGTGTCCACTGTCATTCGGCCGAATGATTCGCCCGAATCAAACAGGTTTGATATATTCGGCCGAATATTTATTCGGCCGAATATTTATTCGGGCGAATTATATTCGCCTGGTGTGTCCGCTTCACCGAAGCATTCGGCCGAATATAGAATTCATTAGCCAATCACCACTCATATCGAGAAGTCACGTGATACAGTGAAGACATATACGCCGCCATGTTTAATCATGTGACGTGAAAGGTGATGCAATCGGCAGGTTGAATCGGGCGAAGCATTCGGCTAGTGTGTCAACCCATTCGGCCGAATAAAATTCGGCGCCGATTGATTCGGCCGAACGATTCGGCTAATGTGTCCACTGCTTAAGGTTGGGCTTATTAAGCAGCTCCATAAACTTGGTAGTATTCCATCATATCATCTAATCACCAGAGTTAGGTGGAATCTATATTAGAATTCCATCATATCATCTACCGTAATCACTGGAGTGAGGTGGAATCTATAGTAGAATTCCATCATATCAAATCACCATTGTCTGGTGTAGAATTCAATCATTCATAATCTTATCATCAAATCACCATAGTGTCCGGTCGAATACAGTAGAATTCCATCATATCAAATCACCGATGTCTGGTGGAATATAGAAGAATTCCATCATATCATTAAATCACGGGTGTCGCGTGGAATATATTAAATCATTGAATCACTGAAATCAGGAGAAATATAGCTGAAGTTGTCCAGTAGTCCACATTGATCTCTTAATCTGAAACAAATATTAGTTCAAAAATCTGGAAATTCCTTTCAGTATTTTCAAAATTTGGAAACTTTACACATCCACTGCAGACAATGTAATAAACAGTACCGGTTTATGGTCAAAGAAAGCCAGAATCATGGATAATCTTTGATTGGCTTTTTGTTGATACGGACTCATTGATATTTTGATTTTATTTCCTTAATGAAATGTTTGGAGTACATTTTACATGGATTATTTAAGCTATGAAGAATTAGATATTTTCTGAAAAATGCAATGATGATCAGTGGCTATGATAGACTCCAAATCACTTTTTCAAGTGCATTATAATATGTCTCCAAATCGTTAATAGACAAGACATCATATCACCTGTTAGGTGCAATACAGATAGAATTTTTCAACATTTTAAATCACTGGTGTCAGAAATGGGATATAGTAGAATTCCCCACCATTTAATCGCTGTTTACTAGTGGAATAAAAAAGAATTTCTCACAATAAAGGGAAATTTAGGGCTTTAAAGGAGAAGACCATGTAGGCAACCATCGCTTTAGTTGTTGTGCTTTGTATTATCATCTATGTGTTAATAATTCTTGTGCCTGGTCACATGACTAACTTAGTAACTAACACTTTTGATTAATCTTATCTAGGTTAAACGTTCATATTTTCGAATTTTACTGAAATGACTGAAACATATAAAAAATTAGATAACAAGTAAAGAATGAGTGACAGCTTGACATTTATATTTAGAATAGATTGTTATAAACAACACCTAGTGTATAATCATCATCATATCATCCTGTTTAAATCATGTTGTTTTAAAGTTTGGTGTGGTGGATGTTGGTGAGAACTAGATAGAACTTTCCATCCCACGCTCTATTTAATGTCAATGGTCAGCGTTAATTTTACATAAATTATAATTGAACTTTTAATACCAAATAGCAGTCTTGGTACAAAATCCACAGATAGTTGATTTGTACCAATCTATTTGTCATATGTTTAATAGTAGTTATAGACTGTATTCATAGGTTTATCAGTGTTATAAACTGTATTTCATAAGTATAACAGTACATGTAATTTATAGACTATGTTTTTGACTTTCAGAAATTGCAAACTATGTCTTTACATTAGATTTGCATATATTTAAAACCACTTGTAGCCGTCCTTGTGAAATCTTAGACTCCTTCAGTCCTTGTTCAATTTCTGTCTTAAAACAGGAAGTATAAATATTAGCTTCCATATGAAGAATCTTTGAACAATCATAAGATTCTAATAGAAAGTTTAAATACATTAAACAAAATATGAGAAGATTGTTGTCCACATAAAACTTGAGATAAGTGGTCTGACTATTTACTATTAAGTCTTCCTCTTAACTAAAAGTGTATGGAGGAGATCTGTAAAAGGAAGGATTGACTTTCATGCTTTAAACAATTATCCAGAAGATTCCATAGATTTATGTGCGTTCTGTCCAGACAGTTATAGTATTTGATGAGGCAGCGTTTTGTTGACTCTTACGGTATTTTCTGACAGTTCAATCAGAGAAGTTTGATTCATGATGGTTCTAGTTATATTTGTTTAGAAGTTTTGACTGTATTTGTCATGTTACTGAAAGATAATACACATGTTTATACACACATTATAATACTATTAGTTACAGTTATAGATGGAATTATTCCTAGATTTTGTGGAGAAATTCAGGAAATTAAACATTATGTTGATGTAGCCAAATTGTTGTAATGGTGGTGGTACTAAATTATTCCATTAAATGTAATCCCTCATTTCCTGAATTGTATAATTGCGTTGAGTGGGGGTGGGGGCAGTCTGGCACATTCCTTTTTTGAATGTTCCTGTACTGAATTCCAGTACCACCAAAATCTCATTTGATGTAAGACTATAAATTATATTTAGGCTTAAAGCTAGTGGTGCCAGGAAACCATTGAATCCTGCATAATTTCAACAAATAAGTAAACATGAAGCATCTAATCCATGGCAAGGATACACAAATCATGATTTTAAATTCTTCTGGTATCTTATCTACATTATTGAAGACGTACAAGATCAATTTTATATCTAGTTCCATCGATCCCTTATCTACATGTATTCAAGATATACTGGTAGATTTTTTCGAAAGATTAAATTTCAAACTAGAATTTGGATGCGAAATTTATGTTTTAAAACAAAATTGATGTTGCAAAGTTGACTGAAGGCTTTAAATAATTCCTATGTTACAGTAATTTCGGAAATTAAATGTAGAAGTAACAACAAAATTTATGATGTTCCATGTTTTTTTAGCTTTTAAGAAATCAATTTTTATTTCACAATTTGTATGAGAAAATTTGGTTGTGGATTTAAATGCAGAATACTTATTTTTTAGATGCATTGAACATATTTTACCAACTTTTATTATTCATACAAAATATGTTTGAACTTTTTGAACACAACTATAGTATATTAAACATACATTATGCAAGAGCTAAATCTGTCTATTGAAGGTCTTTCTTTAGGCTTGAAATGTTATCTAAATTATTAATTGGACATTAATTAACCTAACCAGACCATAATCAACCCTAGATGGCATCTCTAGCCTGCGAACTTTAGTAGTGGATTATGAGCCGATTTACTGCATAACTTTCCTTCACGATTTCACGATTTAACGATTAAACGGATAATCAAGACTATGCTGTTTATCGTACTGACTTTAGTAATGATGATCAAGGCTAGCCGGAAATTTCAACCACTTAGTTCTCGGTTCATAGTGGATCAATTTGAATGAAATTTTCAGCAAATTGCCTTTACATTATCTAGTTTTTAACTATTATAGTGAGAACTGCCAACTCGTTATCAAATCTCCCATAATGTATCTTTAAGAAAAACGTTTCATTTTATTTTCTAAAAAGAAAATTACCTGTATGAGAAGAAGTTTTGTTGCTAGTAAATTTCAGTATGGCTATACAAATGAAAAAGATTTATTTTTGGAAATAAAAATACTCATTGTGGTTGAAGGCGGTTTGTTGTTGCCATTACCCAGGAAAAAACACCTAAATATTAATAATATAGAACTGGTTGTATTTGATAAGTCACATCTATAATAAATGTATGACAAATGTCTGTATTTATTGGGGAAGTTGTTAATGGAGGATATTAAGAATTATTTAATGAACCATTGTTGAAATAAAAAAAAAATTCATTTCAGATGTGAAGACAGAAGATAAAGGTGATTTATGGTGAGTTTCTGTTTTATTCATCAACTTCTTTTCTTTCCTTTAAAAGGCACAAGCCAAATCATTCAGACATTATCTTGAACTTCCAATTAAAGACAAATAAGACACATAAAGATGGCAGTGTGAAATCAATAGAATTCAATGTAAACTTTTTATTGCAATAATTTAGATTAGGAATATTAGGATTGGTTAATTTGAATAACTTCTAAAATGCCTTTTAATAATTAGTACAATTTCATTGTGTGTGATCTTAAAGAAAACATATACATTTAATCTTTTTTTGAGGCTTTAATTTCCTCTTTGTGAACAGGAGGTGATCAGAAAGTATTAAAATGTTAGATTTAATTTCATATTACAGAAATGATAAAATAAGTTTCTTGTAGTGCCATATTAGACAGAATAAAATATTATGTTTCATCTACAAAGTCATTTATTTTGCAATCTACCAGTAGATACAAACTTTTTTTGAATTTTAAAATAGGATGAAACATATCCATTGAAAATTCACATTTGTCAATTAGGCAGCAATATAGAGAAAATTTAGAAATAAATGTAGTTATTGAAAAAAAAAATTTTGTTTCAGGTATTTGACCAATTTATATAAAATAATGATAGAAGCATTGATTGGTGGAATCTGTTCTTACACTAAAACTCTAAGTTTGAAAAAGGTAGCATACACTGTATTTCTTTTATTTATGCAATTTTAAAACTTATTAGAGTTGTAAAGACCAGAAGAAATTTCCTAACATCTATAATAGAAAAAGATAATTCTAACAAACAAATAATATTTTACATTTATCCTGCACAGTTGGACCTGCACTTATTTCATATGGTGATTAATGCATATAATTTTTGTCCAATTCATCTGAAAGAATTTCAGTTTGAACTAAGGAAGCCATGGTGGCTCAGTGACTATATAGTGCTGCCTCACTAACCAGGTCCTGGTTGCAATCCCAGTGTTGGTCGAGAGAGTTGTTCAGAATTTTCCACCTCGGTTTCCCCTTGTCAGTAGTGGTGCACGACTGGGGTTTGGCAGGAAAGAGTCTATAGTTCTTCAAATGGAGCAACAAAATTCTGTGTATACCATTGGCAGCATATTAAAACTCCTCTGATTGTTGGAAAGAAGATTAGGTTACAGCATTGCTGTCGGGCCAAAATTTCCCTCATATCACACTGTCCATCTTCATTAGCATGCTTGGTGCAGAAATAAGTAACTCATTAAAAACCCAATTTCATTTCATTATTTGGACAGCCAGCCAATTGTAAGCTTACTTATATTGTATTAGCACTGGCGATAAAACAATCTGATCTGGATGATAGTATTCGCTTTGTATATTGAAGATTAATATCAAACATTAGTATATAACAGAGATGTTGTTCATTTATCGTACATATTGGCACCAACAAATGCATAATGTATCATAGGTAACTAGTAAAACAAACTGATGATAGTGTTAACATAGTGTTAATATATATCACAGTTTGTTGATGAGCATCTTTAAATTACCAAAAGGATTTAAAAAGGTTCTAAAATAGATTCAGAATATCAAAATCAGTGACCAGCTATGATAAACTTACTGTGAAATCTGTTATATGCAACAAACCTCCATCTTATTCTTAATGTACAAGTTTTAAACATATTTTTGAATGGAGACTACTTATTGATTAGATGGAACATCCTATTAATGGAAAAGTTCAGAAACAACTATCTGCTGTTTATCTGCTATTTTTGGCATTGGTTGGGTGTTTTACAATTCCCCCATTTTATTTGTGTTTCATTATCAAAACGGTTTATATAGATAATTAAACTTGACTTGGTTTTTCTGGTATATTTCAGGCTACTTCAAATGTGTTTTATGTGATAGAAGAAAGTTTACGCGAATTAGACCACCCTACATTTCAGAATTATTTCAATAATAATAGGTATGTGTCCTCCAAACTGCCCGGGGGGTTGGATGTCCGAATGGTTAGCATGTGCACGCTGTTTCATAAGGTCTCATCGAGTCAGCTGGCGTGGTTTCGATTCCACGGTTGTACGTGACACGGAGCAGGGTCGTCTGTCCAACCTCGTGGGTTTTCTCCGGGTCCTCCTGTTTCCTCCCACTGAGCCATGTGTTAGTCCCAAATTGACCTAGTTTCTCTCTCTCTCTAAATAGCTAATTCTCTCTCTCAATGGCTAATCTTCTTTCAGTTTGATAGTAAAAGTCAGTCTGTTTAGTAATTTGCTTTAAATTGTCGACTACTGCAGGGATATAAAATCTGTGGAACCAAATTTAAGTGTGGACAGATACCCTCTTTGCAAAACAAATCGACACATATCAAATTTATATAAATTGACTAAATTATGTTTTACCCAAGTCTATAACTATTATTATCTGTTTTAAAGGAAGACTAGTTTTTCAGTGGCAGTGTTGTTCTTTAAATTATGCATGTGCATAGGCCTATATAAAGACATGTGTAGATATCAAGCTGTACTTTGATGTTGTAAGAGATTTTTGGGGGGATTATTTTAGCTTGTTTTTATAAAATAAATAAATAAATATATCTCAGAAAATACTAAAATGTAAAAATCATTAATCAAATTCTTTTCATTTAATTTTATTTCAGATCAAAGTTTGTATTTAATATTGAAGGTGTTGATAATTTTGGAAAGTAAGTAATTTAATATTTTACAATAAAACGAAAACTAGATTTAAGTTTTAAAGATAAAGCCTAGAAAATTAATATTCATTTGTTGATGGCTTTTATATTCTGGTATGTTGATTTTTATTTTAATGTGTGTAACATGTCTGAAACACAGTGAGAAATCATTGTTTATTTCCGGTCCTCATTAAACTTTTTGTCATAAAGTTAATATGATTTAATTTTTGTTTAATTCACTTCCACTTAGGGGTCTTTAGAAGAAGTGGAAACTGGAGTACCTGGAGAAAACCCTACTTCTTGCCACCCAAACCCAGTATTTACTTATAAAAAGTTAGTTATACTTGCATGTAATTTTTTACAGATGCCACAAACTGGAAGAAGGAGTCTACATGCCATTAATTAAAACTTCCAGTATCTCGTTATTTGACGTACCTAGTGTAGAGCATAGTGGGAAATCTGTTGGTTCTCTTGTTTTTGGTGAATCATTCATAGATTCTAGTTTTACCCTAAAAGGTAATAATTCACAGTGCATCATTAATTTCAAAAGTATTCCGCAGAACAGAGTTACACAATTTTATTTTTTCGTTCACAGTTCAATTAGTTCAGAATGGAATTAATTAAAACATGGTAGGATTGTTCATTCAGTTCACATATCTGTTGGCAGGATTTTTCTCTGGAACCCTATAGATTATTGCAATAGTAGGTTTCGCAGTGATCTACCAGTTTACGTTTCTACTTTTAAATCTTTTGAACGTGGTACAGGACAAATATAGTATTATTTAAAGCTTGATGGGATTGCTCATTTATGCATGGGAGTTCCCCCTTGTCAGTTGTGCAGGACAGAAGGCCTGGCAAGGACAATGTATAGTCGTTCTGAAGGTATGAAAAACCAATTTCCTATGTACACATTTTCATGCGTGTAGAAGAACCCTTGACAGTTGAAATTCGATATAAGAGTAGACCATAGTGCCGCTGTCTGGGTAAAATTTCCCTCATAGCACACTGTATAGTGTATGATCGTCTTCATTAGCCCAGTCAGTGCAGAACAATAGGACGTTAAACCCCATTTCATTTCATTTCCTTAACGCATACAGAGGAAAGATTTGTGAAAAGGGCTAAATCAAACTTCTTAAAAAACATGATTGTGTTTGTTGACAGTGATGTTTGAGCTACAATATGACTTTGCTGATGGGCGTAGTAGGTGGAATGACAAACCCACATAAAATGAAATTAAATCCATGCCTCCATGAAGTGACATTGAACTTTTTTGCATATGATGGACTAGAGATATATTGGTTTATTCTAGCTAGAATTTGAAAGAACTATATCTGGACATTGGCAGACCATTCAATTTGACTGAAATGCCTCTGTTCAGGAAAAGTGCTCAACATTACATAACACAAATAGCCGTAGAAATAATAAATAATCGTTTTAGTCTCAAAGTTTATCCAGCATAATTTTGAAGTAGAAGCCGACTTCTGACATGCATGTTACAGTGAAATAAACGCTTTGACCTGTCCACCAATTATATTACATGTACAAATGATGTAAATGTCAGACGTATATGTATTTATAGATGCTATTCATCTGTCAAATCCTGTAAATTTACCAATCAGACATTTTATTTTCCTATAAATCATGGTAATGATTAAATTTGGTATAAATTATAAATCAATTTTCACTCTCCAGAGAATTAATGAGAGTGTATAGAGCCTGTCTGAAGAGATAATACATGCAACCTATTGTTAGAATAGTTTTAAAGTATTTTCACATTAAAGCTGTACCGCCCCTAGAGAAAGTTTTGCTTCTTCATTTACAAAAAAAAATGTCAAAATCTTTTTGAATTGGCTGAAAAATGCATGTGCCAATATAATTGAAATGAATGTGTTGATTTGTTCCGTGAGAAGAGTAAGATTTATGTCACAGTTAGTAGAGATATATAAAACTGACTTTGCGTTCACCTTTAGACAAGTAATATTCAAGAAATACAACTTAAAAAATGAATACACTAGTTTCCCCTGACTCTTCTAATTTAAACTACTTGAACTGAAATACCATTAATCAGAATACAAAAATTGAAAACTTTTTTTATTGACCAACACTATAATGTGCAGGGGATGTACAGCTATCACCCTCATTTTGTCTGTCATACATCCGCCTGTCCCCATTTGTTTCCATGTTACATGCTGAAGTGTTACCTTTTTCTATTTAGACTTTTTATTCGCCCACATTTTCATGTGGACATATATTTCGTCACCCCTGTCCGTCCGTTCGCATTTTGTTTGTTGAACCTCTACACTACAGGTCAGAATTTTTATCCGTTTTGACAAAACTTGAAATATAGGTTTATATCCAAAAGATCTCGGTTCCTTTCGATATTGGCATGTAACTTCATGGATTATGGCCCCTGATTGTACGGAAAATCACGTTTTAGCTTGTGGACCCTCTAGAAGTAGAAGGCACAATTTTAATCCGATTTTGATGAAACTTAAACAATATTTATATCCCAAAGATCTTGGTTCCTTTCGATATTGACCCATGTTGGACGGCAACATCCTGGATCGCTTTTTTAGCTTGTTTTCTGTCCATGCCTTGCAAAATGACTAATGTGGGTGTATCATGCATGGCAACCGCTTGTTTGACATTCAGCGGGTATGCCTTCTGTTGATGATTCTTGTTTTAGCTTAGTCAGTGTTTCTTCAGAAATTGACTAAAAATAATAAGGACATTTACTTCTGCTAATGCTTCAAAAATGAGAATCTTATCCCATTTATAAGCAAAATTGATCATCAACAGTTTATTTCAACAAAAGATATCTAGAAATGGGGTTTAACTTCCACTCAAATCTAACTAGGTCATTTTAGGACTAACATTTCAAGAATTCACTCTTGTGCAGGGGTCTTCAGAACAGAAAATTTATGTGCTTATACAAGTAACCCTACTCCTTTTCACATACAAGAGTGGGATGAAACCCATGAAACTTACTCAGTCCTATTTGCTTCTTTGTATTCAGTTTTGTTTTTTGTTTTTGTGACGATGGAACATTTACCCTATATGTATTGAATACTGAAGCGTTTCTTGATTGAATTTAGAGTTAAGACTACATTTTTATACATTTCACCGATGTGGTTACTTGTATAGTTGAATTTTACTACATATGCTTACATTCGTATTTCGTGTAGCATATAGCAGATCATGACTCATGCTGGCATTACACAATGGGTTCTTTGGGTTGTATTCCTAATTGTTTTCAAATTTGAGTGAAGTCTGTGTCACTACAGACTCGGGACTGTACAGCGCAGTGGAAGCTTACGGCTAGCCCCCGGATCCATTCACTTTTTTGAATTGTCTGTATGTTTGTGTTTTCCTGAGTATGATGTCCTGTCCGTGTATTTGTTTTTGTGTAAATTTTGTGTGGTGCAGTCCCCCTGCACTTACTATTGATAACAAGTTGGTTGATGTGTTTTCTCAGTTTGTATTTTATTTTTATTTCCAGGAGAGAATCAAATGTCATCAGATCATGTGATTCTTACATCAAACATTTCACGACAAAATTTATTCACAGTGAGTAAAACTTACCTACTCAATTACCTACCTACTGTGGACTGTTATAACCTTTACACTGTGACAGATTGTTCAAGTGATAGTTTATGGAGTGTATTTTTATGGAATTCATTGCTATGCTAGAACATGCTCATTTTATATTGGCTTCATTCTTTCTGGTAAAATAAGATAACATTTCTGGAACAATGATTTTTACCTATTGTTTTTCCAAAATTCTGTGGTCATCAAGAAAATGTTGATGATACTTTATTCTAAATGAATGTTTCCGGTTTCACACTATTGAAGTAAATGGTATTCAGTCTACTTTTTTTTACAAGCCCACACATTTTCATGTGGACATATACTGTCAACCCTGTTCATCCAGACGCTCCTGTCTTGTCCAACCCCAATTTGTTTGTGGACACTCTATAGGTCAAAATTGTTATCCGATTATGACAAAACTTTAAATATAGATCTATCTCCCAAAGATCTTGGTTGCTTTCTAAATTGGCATGTATCGAACCATAACTTCCTGAATTATTGCCCCTGATTGTACGAAAAATCACGTTTTTAGCTTGTGAACACACTAGAGGTCCTAATTTTCATCTGATTTTGATAAAACTTGAAATGTATGTTTATAACCAAAAGATCTTAGTTCCTTTCGATATTGGCATGTATCGAACCATAACTTCATGGATTATGGACCCTGATTGTACGAAAAATCACATTTTTAGCTTGTGGACACTCTAGAGGTCACAATTTTGATCTGATTTTGATGAAACTTGAAATGTGTGTTTATAACCCAAAGACCTTGGTTCCTTTTGATATTCGTGCATATCAGATTGTAACTTCAGGGTGAAAAAATAAATTTTCTTGCAGTGCCATGCAATTCTAAGTATCAATAGTTCAATATTTTGGTGATTAAAATTTATACTTTTTTGGCTTCAGCAGTTGTTAAAGATACACTTTCGTGTAGCTTTTTAGTTAATGTATGCTTACAGACACTACAACAAAATGTAGTGTTCATAACCTTTAAAAAGTGAAAAAATCAACTTCAAATTCAAATGAATAAAAATGTTTTAGATTTTAAAATTGCACATTGAAAAGTATAATATTACTGAAGATCACAATTTTATTGTAAAGATACAACCCCATGGTTTCGGATACTACAGATTAGTCATCTTGCACTTTTGAGCTACAATATTTCAAACATTGATCAAAAATAAGTAAAAAACAATAGCCATTTGTAAACTGAAAAGCTTTCAGTGTTTTTCATGCACATAACAAAACATGTCCACTGTGATTCTGATAATTTGACAGTATCACATGTTTTTGTAATCTAGTCATTAACTCCCCTGTATGCAGTGTCTATTTGTATAATTCAACTACCAAAATTTATTATAGGAAATGTTCTATAACTATAAGCATGCATTTATATCCTTTCCAAAAAAGTCACAGAAAATATATTAATTTGAGTTTCAAAATACAATTCATTAAAGTGAGACAGCATAATGCCCAAAAATGGCTATTTTTGGGACATGTTTATTGCCATAACTCAACAACGAAGATTCATATTGACTTGAAATTTGGTGGTCATTATAGAGGTCATATTACAAATGTTGAATATCAAAAATGATCTGTATATGCTGGAAGTTGTTTCCGAACTGTATATAACAACATCAAAAAATTGAAAACTGGACAAATACTGTGTTTTACCAATCTAGAGGTCACAATTTTTATCCAATTTTGATGAAAATTAAAATATATCTTTATATCCCAAAGATCTCAGTCCCTAACGATGTTCACACATTTCAGACCATAACTTCCTGGATTAAGGCCCTTGATTGTACAAAAAATTGTTGTTTTTTTTAGCTTGTTCTCTATCCATCTCTTGCAAAATGTGGGCGTATCTTGCCTGGCAACCCCTGGTTAAATATATCATGCTGATATGCTGATATTACAGGAAATTGAAAATAAACTTTGTGGCAATCTCTCCAAACCCTGTCAATGGTTATGTGATAATAAATTATCACTAATGTATCCATTCTATTCGTACTAAATCCAAATTAAAGAAACATTCTAGTATATAAGTAGTCTGCAAAGAAACTGATATTGCATTAACCACATCTGCCAAGTATTGGGAAGCTGAAATAGATCAGTCACTCGATCTGTGGAGGGTATGGGTATTGATTGTCACAAATTGATTGTGTTTTACTTTTATTTATTGTCATCTGTAATAATACATTACAAAATTATTCTAGTAATCTTGATGAAATTAGTTTAAGGAAAAGTAACAACTTGGTGTATTATGTGGTTAAACAGCTGACAGTTTAATTCAATTATAAAGGCCACATCAAATTATGATGTTTGATCTCCCTGTTGTGCTATTCCATTCATTTCAAGTACAAAAGCATTTTGTTGATGAAATACATGTTTATTCTTTACTTTAAGACATAGATGAGTTTTATCAATAATAGAAATGTTTGTCGATTTATAGAATATTTTTTTGTATTCTGAATATTAGGGTTTTATTGTAATCTGCCTTGCGTTATTTAATGAGACTTTGATTGACAGATGAACAAGACAAATAAGAGTAAGATATTAATACTACATGTGCTGTATGTTAAATTATTGTCGCATTGCCAGAGTTTTATCTGACAGTCGATTATTGTTATATTAAATTATGTTATTGATTAAAGATAATATTATTAGAAAATTGTGTCTTGAAGAATTAGCAGGATCTAAAGGCCAAAAGCCAATGTGTTTAATTTAAAACTTATGGAACTTATGTGAGCAAAAGTATGATATCAAAGCATGTGAATTGTTTGTAGTTGCGATGAAAACCAATATTATAATACCATTTTTTTTATAAAGATTAATATTTCAGAAATTGATTTGTAAAACGGTCTGATTTTATTACACAAGTAGAAATGTAAACATCTTAATATTATCATCCTAATATGGTCCAACTCCAAAATCTATTGCTATGTGGATTTGGAATTACTGTTGTAGTTGCCATGAAAACCAATACCATTAAAAACCACATTTTTTTATAAAGATTTCAGAAATGAATACCGGCCCATTTTTATTACACATGTAGAAATATAAATCCATTACATGTAATAGATCTTATGTGAACCAAAAGCTATTGCTATTTAGATTCAGAAATATTAGGTTCATGAGTTAAAAATTTAGAGAAATTCATTTTTTGACCTTACTCGCAATAAATCTATTATATGCATCGACAGTGTATACTTAGACTTTCTTCATGCACCAGATCACACATCTCCTTCAAATAGCTGATCTTTTTTGTGTTGAATTTATCATTTATTTTATGTTAATTGGTTTGTGAAATGGCAGCGAATGCTTTCTTAGTTTTTATTCAAGAAATTCAAATAGCTTATTTTGTACTTTTATGTTTAAGGTTAAAGAGGCTGATATTAAAAGTTGTAAACAATTACCAGAACAACTGGCTACTCTAGAGAAATATGGTGATATACTCGTAACAAGGGAAATAATTCATTATACAACAGGATCACAACAATATAGTCAAATATTTACAGGTTAGAATTATACATTAACTGGACAGGATTGTTCCAGGTTCGAATCCTTGCATGAGTTAAGTGAAACTATCATGCTAGTAGGACTATCAAGGAAGGATAGAAGAGAGGTCATATACTAGAAGCACTCAAGACCTTTAAATTTTCAGACCACTCCTCCTGATATTCCTCACTAACCCTGTGTGCGATAAAATGCCTTTTTAAGGATTGGATTATAATGTACACAAATGATTATGGTTGTCTCAAAACTGTTGTTTGTTCAGGTATATGTTTGTATATAGTGTAGATGGTAGTATATGAAGATATTTAATGCCATGTTTGAATATTATAGGTGAGGTTATGGTATATGAGAATGCTGTTATTTTACATCATGTTGAATATGGTTCTATCCTACTGACACACACAGATATACAACATATACAGTTATATGATGCTGTATGTACTATATTATTTTATATACAATAAATTATCTTGTAAATAAATTGGCATTTTTAAAGATTGTATTTCACTGTTTGGTATTAATGATTAGTCTTTTTATACGTCCAGATTTTCATGATGACGTATAAATCTGTTGCCTCCGTCCGTTGGTCCACAGATCACATTCTTATCCGATTTTGACGAATCTTGAAATATAGGTTTTTAGCTTGTGGACACTCTAGAGGTCACAATTTGTATCCGATTTAGATGAAACTTAAAAATCTATGTAAGAGCCTCAATATTTCTTTGTGTCATTTTAGATTGTCTATTTTGATGTAGCAAGGAGAGATGATGTATATAATATAATGTTTATAATTTCAGGATACTAATAGTTCTGTATGGCTGTTGATATTATGTTTAGACAAGTTATCTCATGGTAAACTACCTGTACATCTGATAGAAGATAAAAACCAACTTGTATTAGTCTTTCTACCAAAAACACCCCTACATAAAAACTTGTATACACAGGTATAGATGCAATGTACCACAATATCTATAATAGTAGTTAAACAATCAAACATTATGAACTCTAAAAAATTCAAATCTTGTAATATTGAAAGGGAATTGATTTCCTTTCAAACATAAATATCGAAGATTTTGGCCTAAAATAGAGAAAAATGGCTCTGCATTCCTTACAAGGAAATTTAACATTATTTTAGCTACCTATATATCAGTGTCAATGTTTATTAAAGCATTCTATCATTACAAATCATACCAGGCTCAAATAGATCATTATCTACTTTGGCTACAATTATGAATTTTAAAGTTCTATTTTAACATTTTGTTCAGATTTTACGTAAATGGAAGACGGAATCAAGTTTTCCTGTTGTAGAAAGATTGGAAGAATTACCACAACATTTAATTTCACTGTAAGTTATTGTTAATGATGATTGAAGTGATCCTGGCTATTAAAGGGGAGCGGCTTCCCTTTCTTTGAAAGTCATACTTATAATGTATTTCTTTTAAGTTTGGGCTGGTTGGATAGCCGAATGGTTAGCATCATTGAGTCAACTGGCGTGGTTTCCATTTCTCCGGTTGTATGTGACAAGGATTAGGGTCGCCTGTCCAACCTCGTGGGTTTTCTCTGTTTCCTCCGGTTTCGTCCCTTTGCTAAAGACCCGTCCATGCAAGCAAATTATTGAAATAAAATTGAACCATGTGTTATTCCCGAAATGACCTAGTTTGTGTCAAGTGGATGTTAAACCCCATTTTTCTCTCTATCTCTCTTTAGTTAGTTTTCTCTTTGACCTGGTACCCTATGTGCCATGATATGCGACACTATTTGAGGACATGCTAGATTGGTCAATTCTTTTTTTTTTTTCACAGGTTGGTTTTCAACAGTCAAAGATTATTTCAGTCATGTATTTCTTTTCAACCGATTCTAAATTTGATAAAAAAACTTTTAATAAAATAGGTTTAGCATTCTAATTACATGTACTACTATTATTATATATATTGTGATAAACTAATTTACAGACATTCAGAGCTACAGAAACAATTTGTTCCTAATTCAAGTACAAAAACCACAAATTTAGAGAAATCAGCCTATCATATTGATCACATACAAAGGTATTTTTAATTTATATTCACTTCATATTCTAAATATTTTCATACCTGTTCCACTTGTCAGTAGTAACTCCTGTAAGACTGGAAACGAATGTATGTTTATAGTCTCTGGGATCACCAAACAAATGGCTTGTACATGCACTTAAAAACAGCTCACTGTCTGTGCATCATTATCCCCCTTTGCATTGAGCCAAAGAAAGAAAAAAATATGTTGGTCGCCAAATAACCATTGTATTTATTGATGTGATTTTCTTACCATTCATCAGGTTTATAAATCATCTATCAGTTTGCACTACTGGATGTAAAGATGTGGACAAGAATCATCTCCCCTTGTTACTCAAATCACAGCAAACCATTCCAACAACTGATGAAAATGAAGAGGAGACAGATTCCGATGAGGTAGGAAGAATTGTACAGATTACAAGTATTATGTGTATACATCCTTAAAAATATATTCTTTAAATTAGGTATGACTGACTAACAACTATCAACTGGGGATTATATCTAAACTGAAAGGAAAACGAAAGGGAGAAAATCACGTTGTTAGGGTGCCCCGTGCAGCGAAAATTTTCCCTACAGAAAGTTGAACTCGTCACGGCAAATGTGCACGCTTCAGTGGCTTGTCTCGAAGTGATTTTTGACTAATCCTGCAGTGCGATAACACTCAGCGCAAGAGTCTATGAGTCTAACCTATTTTTTACTCAAAAGTGCCTGGATATTACGGCCAACACTGGTAACCATTTTTCAGTCTATTATTTATGGATGGTTAAATGGTCATAGCTTATTAAGTACAACATGACCGTTTATTTAGTGACTATAAATGTGCGAAACTGATTTAAGGCTTGGTATATATATATATATACAAATAAAAGGCTTGGTATATATATATATATATATATATATATATATATATATATATATATATATATATATATATATATATTGTGGTGTAATTTTCGAGATATTTGGAGGTATTTATTTATGGTGGGGCACCCTAACATTATGTTTGTACTTTGTTCTAAGACAGAGATCTTGTAATGTTTGTCACAGACAGTGTCATTGAAATTATGCTGCACATTTTATATTGTAGATTACTATTAGTATTATAGCAGGAGTACCTGGTTCTCATAAACAAACACTTGTATCAACAATAACAAATTATACCAAAGAAAAATACAGGTAAGATGCAACATTTAGAACAATTAATACAGACACGTTTAGTACATCTAGAAATATAATACAGGTAAGACACAACATTTAGAAATCAAGGAGAAGCACAACATTTAGAAATATTAGTCGAGGAGAGACACAACTTTTATTAGAAAACTTCAATAGAGGTAATTTTAGGACACAACATTTAGAACAATTAGTAGTAAATAAAAAGAGACCACATTACACAAGGCAAACCTACGCACAGGACACACAATATACATACACAACAAATAACAAATGCACATATCAGATCAAGTGAACGGATCTGGGGGCTAGCCGTAAGCTTTGACTGCACTGTACAATCTCAGGCCTGTAGTGATAGAATTCATTCAAAATGAAAATAAGGGAAGCAACTCAAGAAAAGGGAAATATTACCCAAATGCTGTATCATACTAGCTATAAGCTTATATAGTGTGAGTTATGATGGGCTATGTCTTCAATGTTTTGTAATACTTCAGGCGCCTTTCATAAAAAATTATGTTCTTCATACTTAGAACAGAACTTGTAAGCCATACAAACTTGCCTGATTTGTAAGTAGCTGTTTCTTGTGTTCTAGAAATAGATGGTGTATGAGTATGAATGAGTATCGCATAAAGAAGTGTATCAACTCTCAAATTAATTTAGTTGATTAGTGTTTTAAGTTTTTGTTGTATTTTAGATGGATTGTATTAAAACAACCGAATGATGATATCAGAGAATTTGATGCTAATCGACTTCATAAACAATTGAATGGAGCATTAACAGTTCATAAACGACGTAAACCTGGTGCAATTAGAAGAATAACTAAAGTTATTGTTGTGACAAACAGGTAGAGTATATTTATTGTTATTTACGTGTATATATAGCCAGGATAAAATATACTGATTTGACTGGAAGCATGATTGTAGACCTGACATTTATTGACACAAGGAAACCATGGAGACCATAACAACTTTCCTTTACAATGAAATATTGGCATATAGGGTAAAATCAAATCACACAGGTCATACCTAGTCACTGCTTGGATGAGATAAGTCTCTGAATGTTTGCTTTTGGGATCCTTCTCCACTCTTGTTGACAGAGATTTTACAGTTGGGGGCCCTTGAAACTGGACAAGACGATGGCCAATATTGTCCCACAAGATGCTTGATTGGTGAATGAGAGATCAAGAACTCTGCCACTTAGTTTCGGTTAAAGAACTCCATAGAGACACATGCGCTAAGTCAAAATTAGTGATGCAGAATTAGTCCAACGTAACACTGTCTGGTGCTCAGTATCGGCACTGTTACATGTTGCCGTTGTGATCTGATGTTGTTACATTGAGATTTACAAGATTAAAGTGTATCTCTCAAACGATCCATTTATAATTTAGAGAGCTTGTCTGATTTATACTACAGTTTGGCTGCCAATGATTGTCATGTGCCGTAGCACGAGGGCATCTAACCTAAATAGATTGTGAAGTTGTGAACTCTGAAACTCTCTGATTAAATTGTTATAATATTGCTGTCATTTAATCTTTTCTGTGAGACTTGGCATAAACAATTAACTTAGCTGGAAAATAATGGAAATGTATTTGAAAAAGATTGGGAATGATACAGGAGCAATTTATTACAGCTATAAAGTAATTAATGTATGGCCCAGTTATACAAGTGTTACTTTCTGATTGGTTTAAAAGTAAATTATATAATTTTGTATTTTTTGTTAGTTTTACAGATATTGGTGAAATTATCAATGCTATAGAAACACATCCAGATCAAGATGTTAACAAATATCTTAAAATAGGTAAACAGATCTTATTCCTATTGTTCATAGTTTAAAATAGGTAAACAAATCTTATTCCTATTGCAGGGTTCCCGCGGTCCTTGAAAAACCTTGAATATCCTTAAATTTAAAATTTCATTTTCAAGGTCTTGAATATCCTTGAATTTCGCGGAAATAGGAAAATATCCTTGAATTTCAGTTGAGATCCTTAATTTTGTTTCAAATGTCTTCAATTCCTTTTAAATATGAGATTAAAAAGATAGTTGGTAATGTTTTGGTTATTTTTAAGATGAAAAATTGTAACTTTAGGCTAAAAAATGTCCTTGAAAATCCTTGAATTTGACGTATATTTTTCCTTGAATATCCTTGAAAAAATATTTGACGAAGCTGCGGGAACCCTGTATTGTTTATAAATTATAGTTTAAATTAGGGTAACAAATCCTATTTCATTTTATGGTTTAGAATAGGCAAACTATTCTTATTCCTATAGTTGCTTTATGATTGTTTAAGTCCCTGCAGTGATTACTACGATATTTTCATCAGATATAGATATATTATATATATCTGTAAAAAATCATAGTGTGTATATAAAATAGACTTTACTTTAATTATAGGTGCTGTAACTATCTGTATTGATCCTCTTAACTTTTATCTTGAACACAGGTAAGTTAAGAATGTGTCCGCGAGAAGATTTTTTTTGTTGTTTTTTTTGTCTATGGCTTACTTAGTGCCCAAACATTCGTATATAAAATATTAGACTCATTGTTCCACCCAGAGTCATAGAAATGCCGAGATGGGTTTTCCAGTCTTGAATATAGCAAAAAAAAAATGTATTTTCACTTGTTTTTTTTTACCACCAACCTTAGAACTTAATATTTCTTTAATGCGAAAAGTCAACTAATCCAAACTTTACATCCATATGAAATTGTGCACTATCTTTTACATATACTGTATATCGGTATGTTCATAATTATAGGACCCTCTCTTCGCTTTGCAATGGCTGGAGACCACACTCTACCTTGTATTAGTGTAAACCAACACACCAAGTTTTTAGCCCAATAACACCCCCTTTGGGATGAGTGTTATGCCCGATAGTGGTATATGAAGGGGGTAGTACCCACTACTGATTGCAGAAATGAAATTGACTAGCGTTCAATTGGATTATCCTTGGTATGTGCTGCAAAAGGGTTAATGTGGTCCAATTTCCAAGACGAATTTCATTTGAAGGGTTCCTGAAATGAATCACCAATCGTTTTTGTTAGGTTTTGTCCAATAGGTAGTCAAGAAATTCTCATTCGACGTCGTTTGATCATTAATTGTGGAGTTGAATGAAACAGCGATTAAAATTCATGATTGTGTTGTTCTAGTTCTTTCCCTTTGTAAATGAGGCAGGCGTGGCAATGGACAGCGTCTAGTGATTCAGATGGGATGAAATACTGGGGCCTGTGTTCATTTTGTTGTGCACTTAAAAGAATCCTTGAAAAGTAGGAGAAAACGACGCTGGCCTCATAGGTGTACAAGCCAGGGGGCCAGGTGGGGGGGAGCGGCTGCCCCCCTAACTTTCGGGCAATCTGACTTTTCAGGCAGATGGGTAAAGTGAAAACAAAAATTATTATTTCATCTAATTTTACTTTTCTTTTAATTGAATACCACAAATCTATACTGAATTGACTGTGCATTAAAACATTTTGTCTGGAGCCACGCTACTATGTGCAACATTTTTCGGGCATCGATTATAATTTGTGAATGCAGCTGCAACACCCCGCGACAATCGATTTGTTGACCACCATGTAACAGTGTATTTTTTTTTATTAATTTATACTAACAATTTTTTTTTATAAAACATTACTCAGCATACCTCTGGGCCCCTGGACAAGTGTCCCAGCTTCCACCCACCCCCACCCCCTCTCACGGGCCCTGGGTTTAGCTCCTTTAATCCTTTAATTTGTTACATGTATTACACGTTTATTCTTGTCTCCTTGTCTATGAGCTTTACAAATAGGTAATACTTTGTAAGCTATAGTTCCTCCATATTTTTATGCCCCTTCAATTTTTTATGAAATCATTTAAATTTTGGATATGATGAATAGAATATGCATATCTATAACATATCTTTCCTTGTTGGTCAATTTTTGCAATACTTTGGGTGCTATTGACAAACAAATGCTTTTAGTCAGTGATTGTAGGACCTGAAAATAATGCATTTTTGCTGATTTTGACACCCTATTATGGTAATGCGGAGGGTTTGTGAGTCATTATTTTTTCAGAAATTTGTTATACATGGCAAGCCCTAATAAATAATAATTACCTTTGATTCCACTGACCCTCAAAGGGCATGTTATTGGGCCTTAAAATGCCCCCAATTTGAAAAATGTAGAAACATTCCTTACAAAAAACGAGTGTAAATCTTTGTGATTATTTCAAGCAACTAGAAAAGATGTTTCACCTAAAGGGATCCGGGGTTGGATGGCCGGATGGTTAGCTCGTGCATGCTGTATCGTAGGGTCGCCTGTCCTCCGGTTTCCTTCCACTGCTAAAGACCCCTACACGCAAGCGAATTATTGAAATAAAATTAAAACCATAAGTTAGTCCCGAAATGACCTAGTTTGTGTCAAGTGGACCTTAAACCCCATTTCTCTCTCTCTATCTCTAACCTAAAGAGATACACATGTACTGTATCTTGGTCCTAAAATGACAAAAATGTGTGAGATAAATATATACCTGTGACTTTCTCCGATTACAGATTGATATTACCTGGTATATTAACAGATTGTGGTGAAGGTTGGGTTAATAATATTATCTTAACATCTTGTACTACAGGACAGGTAAAACACGTTTTTATACAGACACTTGTTCACTGCAATAAATGACTTGTTTCTATAAACATCAGGGTAAAGATAACATACAACCAGGGAATTTTTTTATTTTTTTTGTCTAAATTACTATCTAAGAAAACATTTCAGCCATTATTTTTGTTAAATTTAAAAAAAAGAAAATGACTGGTAGCCTTCTGATGGATTGAGGCAAATCAAAGGCTAATTGATTCTACACATCTAATTCTCACATTATTCTGATACAAAAATGTGTTACAGATTTCTTGATTAATAATACCCTAATTACAGAAAATGTAAGTGAAAATTAATTATCTGTTTAACAATGTTATGTTATAGAATGATATGATGAAAGACGTTCAGAGTATTTTACGTTGTGTTAATACTAATGTAGCTTTTATACCTGCGGAAAGAGGTGAAGTTCATAGGTATGTATTCTATTTCATAAAGATAATCAACAACATTCCATTTGCATCCCGAAATGACTTAGTTAAACCCCATTTCTCTCTCTCTCTCTCTCTCTCTCTCTCCATTTGCACCAACACACTTTAATCCAGAGATTCTTATCCCAGCTTTGGCTGGGGAACTTCCTCTGGATTTTCTGGCATGAATGAGGGCCTGCAAGGAACAGTATCTAGTCATTTTGATGGGACAAAAAACTGAAGTACTTTGTATACATTGCTTTGTACATAAGTTGGGATTCGAAAGTTGTTATCATATTTATTGTGTCTTTATTTTAACAGATCCACAGATTTAGATAATATTTTATCTAGTAAAGAGTTTTATTCTCCATTGATGATACATGCCAGATATCTGTCTCGTCCTGATTGGTAGGTATTTTCTTATCTTTTTTATTTTACAAATAATAACCTGAACTAAAATATCAGATTAGTCTGTACTTTGGTTTTTTTTTATTTAATGGTGTTGAATTTTAAATTAAAATAAAATAAAGATCTAATTTGAATGAAATTGAATTGGTCAGAAATTAAAAAAGAGGCAAATTACTACAACATAAATGATGCAGATTTGATAATCCCAAATTGATCCAAATATATTTATCTTATAGCTTTCTTCTGTCTAAATTAAATTATATCTGGATGTTATATTTACAGGAGAAATTTGAAATCTTCATCTGGATTTCAGCCGAAAATGAATCAGATTTTGTTGAACTTTAAACAGCCTTTAGATAAATCTAGATTTATCAGTAAATTGAAAAGTATGAAATCTAGTCTAGAATCACATCCATGGTATAATAATATCTACCATGTACAAGGACAGGTCACATTTACAGGTAAACATTTCATAATTTCCATAATCTTTTGCATTATTTTATCATTTGCTTTGTTTGGATGGGATGAAAAAACAAAGTCCTATGTACAAATTGTTATTTCACATACCTAGTACAGGATCTCTTGTCATATCATTAACCATAGGAATAAAAATGGCTGATGATATCAACGATTTAATTCTATTCTCTACTAGGGTGCAATGAACAGAATTTATTTTGCCCCAGTGGCTAAAAAAAACAGTTAAAATTCCCGGTGTTGGGCAAGAAAGTTCCTTATAATTCTCTTTCGTGACAGAAACCATGACAGTTGGAGTTAAAAATTAGACTATGCCCTAGGATCGTTGTATTTACCAAATTGACATTGTTTGTTATTCTGCGCTCTCTGTATGTAGTGTTTTGACTGATGTGCAGCGTATAATACAACTTTAGAATGAGCTTATAATGTTAGGATGACCCACCATAAATAAATATCTCCATATATCTCGACAATTTCGCCACAAACTTTATATATATGCCAAGCCTCAAATCAGTTTCACACAATTATAGTCACTAAATAAACGATCATGTTGTACTTAATAAGCTATGACCATTAATCATCTATAAATAATAGACTGAAAACTGGTTCCATGTGTCGTCCATAACGTCCAGACACTTTTGAGTAAAAGATAGGTTACGTGCCCTTGTTTTGAAATTAGTCTCGCTTAACCAGTCTATCGACCATTCTACGTCTGATTGACAGGTCGGGATAATCAAGACTACTTTTTTACGAAACATAACAGAAAGCTAGAACAAGAAATTGAATTTAGAAATGAGCACGTTAGCTAGCTCAACAATTGTTTTAAGAACCTTGTAAAAGTAAAATGAAACTACTGCTAGTATCATGTTCCTGTCTAACCCGAGTGTTTCAGAGATATTATTTGTACTAAACCAAAAGATGCCGCTCTTAACGGTACAGTTAATGATAAAGCGATTTAAAAAATGAAACGAATGTAATTTCTAAATCTGCTGTAATAACCAAGAATCTTAATTTTACTGCTATTCAAAATCGTCAACAATAAATTTTTTACGGCTGTAATAGTTGATAGATTTGTAGAGAATTGCACGTGCCATGGCTATTTATAGTATCATACTGTCAGAAAGTTGGCCTCGACACGGCGAATGTGCACGCTTCAGTGGTAGTCTCGAACTATCAGCGGTTGACTGTATTTCTGTAGGTGCATGGGTCACCCTAATAATGTATTTATTTTACTTTATGTTGTAGATAGTGAAGGTTCATATGAAGTACAGTTTGTAACATTGAGTGGTTATATGAGATTACAGTTGGTGGAGACACCACCCATCAAAGACCACCTGTCATCTCCATCCTCTCCTCCTCCTAATACTTCTAACTATCTGGTGTACACTGGATGTCATCTTCAGGAGGAAAACATTAAAAACTGGTTAAGATCCTGTAGAATACAGGTATAATATTTGCAATTCCTCCTTTGACATGCTTCTTTCAAAATAATTTCTAATTAATGATTTTTTTTTTTTTTTTTAAGTCAAAAAGGATTTTGTAAAAAAGACTAAAACATTTTGTTTTTTGGTTTTTTTTTTAAATGAAGCCCAGGATATCCAGTGACTATTCAAAATGAATATACAAGCTGACCTTGTATTACTCTCGAAAATTATCTGTTGTCTAGTAGCCATTCGCAAATACAAGAACAGCCACATAGTTTAGCTGATTTCACTTTTTAAAATGTCTGTTGTTTTATTTTCTTAACAATAATATGTAAGTAAATATAATATTGTTTTTAAAACCATGAATATATAGTAGATCTAACCTTTATCATGTAGCTAAAAAAGAAAGATTTATTAACCAGGCAAGATCTTACCAAAGATGAAATTAATGAGATTCATGTAAGTTCAAAATAATTTGTTTTTGAAAAACCTGTTCTATATTAATAACATATTAAACATAGTTTAACTATTTTTACCCTCTAATCCCTGCTTGTGTTCTCTTTTCCCTTCACTTCTTTTTTTTTTCTTGTGTGGACAGTTAGTTTGTGACTGGAATAAGCCAATTCTTGACCAAAACTTGAAAATACTTACTGGAAACCATGGGTTGTTCTAGACTTAATAGTCAAACTTAATAGGTCAATAAGGTGTAAGATCCCATGTTTTGGGCTAATGTCAACTGATAAGTGATGAATCGAGAGAACAATTTACAAACTTAACTAAAGTTAGGGCAATTACAGAAATAGATAGGTACAAGTATTAAGGTTTGAAACTAAATGGTTTTATTTGACACCCTCAGTACATTATATTTCTGTAGTAATATTTAATTTTAAAAGAATTGATGTTGTCTTGTTCCAATCTGTGTATTGTTTGTTTTATACTGTTTTGTAGAAGAATAATCATCTTCGACAGTTACCATCTGGCTGGTTTTACAATGGTTCACAGTTTATCAGTTTAACTGGTGAAAAAACATATCAACATCCTAGTATCCTTTATATATGCCACATTTAATGTTGACTATATTGTCTTCACCCCTGTTCTTTCATTTTTCCTTAATTTCATGTGATTAGAGTTCTTGTTGGATCATAAGAAAGAATCATATCGAAATTCAGAATTTATTTACCGGTAGTACAAATCGTGGAATTATCTCCCTGTATTCAAACTTATGATTTTAAAATTTGACAGCCCCCCTTTTCATTTTTTAAGATATACCTGTTCCATTAGTCATTTATTCAAATATGTTCTTGGTCTTTAAAATGTGCTGAAATAAAATTTAATGGTTTGGGTGTTCTTGTTTTTAAATCTATCTGACCTTAACAACTAATCAGATTTAGAAGATTTTATCGAGGAATATGTTAAAATGAAAAACCAAGAAATTTTAGAGCACAACCAAAAAATAGAATCTGAGAAATTTGTGGATCTGTTTGAATAATTCAGTTTTACATTTTCAGTAAAATAAAGGGATCAGAATTTGGTTTAGTCCATCAGTTTGAAACCAAATATGTTAAATATGTCCGTCCAGTATAATTCTATATCATGAATTATGTGTCCATTCTGTTACATTCCTAATAGAATTACTAGATGTCCATACTTTCATCAGCCATATAGAAATATAATATATAGTAATGCGTTTACAGTCAATACAGAATTACTAGATGTCCATATAGAATTACTAGAAGTCCATACTGCTGAGAGCAATAAAGAATTACTAGGTTTTTATACTGTCCATATAATATTAATGATTGCCAATATTTTTTCTATCTATACACAATTACTAAATGTCCATTTGCAATATGAAATTACTAGATATATCTTTAGTCCATATAACATTACAGAATTCCAATATTGTTACTTAGTACAATTACTGGATGCCCAGTTAAAATCCATATGGCATTACTGTTGCACATATCCATACTGTTATAATCCATATAAAATTACTACATGTCCATACTGTTACAATCCATATGGAATTACTACATGTCCATACTGTTTTAATCTATATGGAATTACTAGACATCCAAACTGTTATCAGTATTATTTACATGTTCTTTAAATTGAGTATTTCGACTTCTCCTAACTTCAGTATGAGGTATATGCTATCTACAAGTTTCACAATTACTGACCAGTTTATTTGACCAATAGTGCTAACTGCTTGTTTTTGTTTAATATTACTTTACTTTTTATAATTGCTTACATTTTTCTGTTAATATATCTTTTTTGGTTGTTTAATACATTATCAATAAAATTAATTTAAATTATTTAAATATTTTGTTTGTGTTCATTGTCTTCTTTGTTGTATCTTAGTTATTGACATGGGGCCATATTACCAGCCTATCTTGTGGGCTATGTTTTTACATATCAACAGATAACTTGGATCTTGGCAACATTAATGACAGTCAATGAAAAAAACTTTGTGTGGCTACCTTTGGTTCTGTTAACACAATATAAAACTGATTCGTTTATGAAACAAACTAAAGTTTACTTTATTATAGCAAATTTATTTATAAAAAATAAAAAGAAAAGAGAGAATTTGTAATAGGAGAGATACTTGTCGACTGGATGCATTATTTCCATTTTTAGGTAATCCACTTTGGTAAACACCCCCTGTAAAAAAAACATAACTGAAATATAAACCATTAGTAGACACTTTCTCCTATAAATAACACTGGTAGATCTTCATGTGTTGTTTTTTGTCCATTTCATGATCTTCAGATGGGTTATTGTCCAGAAATAGTATTGGCTATCTGCTTATATTCAAATCCGGCCATTTTTGAATTCGTTAAATAAATGTCTAGATCCGCTCAATGATTATTGATGATATAGGGTCTTTTAGCAATTCCTAACAGAGAAGATTAGTTTTTGCATGACAACTGAGGGAAGATACCTACTTTTGATGTATTTGTTTATTTAGAAGTTTTACATTTTCGTTTTATATTTGTATTCAACCCCTATTCCTGTGGTCTTATCCCTGTAATTACCTTAAACCTAGTAGCCTCAAGGGCTAAACCATAGTTAATTATAATTAGTGTCAGGCATCGAGCTGATTATGATACTTTTAAATACAATTGGCTGTTAATTTTAGAAGTTTACTTACTATATACAACTACTTTTCTTATTGCCAGTTGTATGACAGCATTGAAACCCAGATACAGACGCACACTTGAGTATCCATAAATCATTTTAAAACAATAATTGGTTAAAAATCATATAAACTTACCTATACAACACTGTATATTGATGGTACCCCGACATAAATTTTTTTCATATCCACCAGGGCATGCGCTACTTGTGTACTGACAAACACCTCCCCGGGCTTCACACCAACTATCTGAATTCTGAGCTGAAATTAAAGAAAGCCAACGACATTATAAGGTTATATGCAGATGACACACCAATATTGGACAGATTCAAGTCCACACAGGTTACCTTCAATAAAATAACCAATTGTACAATTGCTGTAAACTCCTGGATAACAAATAGCATGCTGAAGTTGATCGATGATAAGACAAGTCATGTTATTTGGCACCAACAACAAATTCAGAACATAAGTCAAAAGTCAGTAAAATCGCGGACTCCACGATCAAATTGGTTGATATTGGTGTTTATGTTGATTCAGAACTCAGCATGGAGACACGAGTAAATCAAACATGCAAGACTTGCTTCTTTCACTTGAAGTCCTTACTTCAAATCCGCATTTTGATAACAAAAGATGCAGCACAAGCACTGTTTTGATCTTTAATCTTATACAGACTCGACTACTGCAGCTAGAATGGTGTGCCAATCTAGTTGGCCTATATATAGTAATTAATAATTATACATATACAACCATAGTTAGAATTTTTAATAATAGGCAACATTAGAGAGACTAACCAAAATTATACATAAAATAGACGATAAAATATTAATTGATCGAGTTTAAAATCTGTTTGACATATCTATAAACTTATGGACCTGGTTAAAAATATATGTGTTAACGTCAAGACTAGTTTGTGTAACCAAATAAAAGACAGTTTATATTTTTAAAATCATGTTGTAATTTGTCTATGGTTTCTGTTCGTGCATTTGAATGTAAGGAACATAGCAGAAGTTAATGGTCGGGATCTTCAAATATATGACCGCAGAGGCACGCGGGACTGTCGGCAACATGTCTTGGGAATTTGTGACCCTGCAGGTCAGAGCATCGAAGTCGTAATTTGCAATGAATTATTTGAGGTTTCCGCTGACCGTTATAATAAAACGAAGGGACTTTAATATCATATTTGGATAGATGATCGGAGAAAATTTTCAGAGTTCTAGAATTCCTTGCAGGAGTACTGAGTTTATTCCACTCTCTTATGCTGGATGGGATAACTGATTTAGCAAAAATGTCAGTACGGCATCGAATTTCTTTTAATTTGTTTTCATTACGAAGGGAATATTTGTTTGTAGGTTCAAGGTTTACGAGATTCTTAAGATAAGGAGGGGTTAGGTTATTGATGATTTTGTAAAGTAGTTTTAATTTATGTCGATTTCGTCTCTCTTTGAGTGGAATAAACCCAGTCAATCAAGGGCCACAATCCATGAAGTTACGGTCCGATACATGCCAATATCGAAAGGAACCGAGATCTTTGGGAGATAGACCTATATTTCAAGTTTCGTCAAAATCGGATAAAAATTGTGACCTGTAGAGTGTCCACAAACAAAATGTGAACGGACACGCGGACACACACACCGACGACAATAAACGTCCACATGAAAATGTGGGCGTATAAACCTAGATAATGTATAGGGAATTTGCTGAAAAGTTTCAGTCAAATTGGTCCACTATGAACCGAGAATTTAGAGATTGAATTTTAGGCCTCGCCTCGAAAATCATTACTAAAGCTTTTATTCTTCTTTGGTTCTAGTGTTATCTGTACGGTGGCTGATAAGGGACATGAAAAATAATATAATTTGTTTTTTGTAATTTTCACCCAAGTCAATTTTAATATAATTTGTTTTTTTGTAATTTTCACCCAAGTCAATTTTAATATAATTTTTTTTTTTTATAATTTTCACCCAAGTCAATTTTAATATAATTTGTTTTTTTATAATTTTCACCCAAGAATTTCCACCCAGCGCGTGACGTCATCTCAATTAGCCTCGTTTCCATTGTAAAAAGTAGGGGATATTTGATTTTTAAGTGTTATTAAAATCACCTAATGAAACTGACGAAGAAACAAATGACAAAATGAAATGAAGTTCACATTCATCGATTTATTCCAAATGATCGTTAGACTAAGTAAGGCACAGACTGACCATTATAAGGGTAAAATGATACCCGGGGTCAAACAGCAAAGTTACCACAGCATCACAACCAAGTCAGTAACGGGTAAATCCTCCTCTGTTTGCCAAACAAGCATTGATCCGACGTGGCATACTCCTAATGAGACGTCTAAGGTCATTTTGGTCCAGATTGTCCCATTCCTGTTGCAACGCAGCAGCAAGTTCTTGGACATTGGCAGGACGTTGTTGACGTTGACGTAACCTCTGTCCAAGCATGTCCCAGACATGCTCGATGGGGGAGAGGTCGGGACTCAGTGCTGGCCAAGGTAATGTGGTGATGTTCTGTTGTTGGAGGTAACCTGTAACGATCCTGGCCCTGTGACATCTTGCGTTGTCATCCTGGAAGATGAAACGGCGGCCATGACGTCGTGCGAACGGCACAACATGGACTGCCAAGATGTTGTCCCGGTAGTACTGGCCTGTAACACGCCCTGCAACAACATGTAAAGCCGTTCTTCCAGCAACAGTGATGCCTCCCCACACCATAACAGAACCACCCCCAAATCGATCATGTCTGATGACGTTAACGTCTTGGAAGCGCTCGTTTCGACGACGCCACACCCTCCTACGTCTGTCCAAAAAATCAACAGTGAACCTTGACTCATCTGAAAACATCACATTGTTTCAGCGTCGATTATCCCAGTGTTGACGATCCCTACACCAACGACGTCTTGCCTGAATGTGATGATCTCTCAAACAAGGGATCACGCGAGGACGTCGGGCGCGAAGGTGACCCCTATGCAGTCGATTCCGAATCGTCTGGCCACTCACTCTCACACCAGTGTCTGTTTGAAGACGAGCGCTGATCTGATTTGCTGTGATGACACGATTTCTCAAGGCCAGGGTACGGATAAATCGATCCTGGGCTTGAGTTGTCGCCCTTGGTCGACCTGAGCGTGGCCTGTCCTGTACAGATTGTGTATCACGGTATCTGGACCATAGCCTGCTTATGACAGACTGAGAAACATTCATCGTCCGCGCCACAACCGCCTGTGTTGTGCCGATCTGTAGCATGCCAAGGCCACGTAACCTTTCATTTTGGGTAAGCCGACGCATATCAAAATTTGTTTTCTGGTCACTAAAACAATTAAACTGATGTTTCCACCCTGGAATTCAATGCCACAATGACTGTAACACTCAAAGTCAGAGTCGTGCAAATCTTGGGTTGGACCCCCATGATGATCCCAAGCATCACCTGCATTCCATGCGGTAGCTATTGGTGCGTTTGGGCGTCACATGTAACTGGAAATGTTTCTTCTGTTAGGTTCTATAGTGACTTTTTTCGTAGTCATTTGCATATTTTAGTATTATGCCCCCAAAATCAAATATCCCCTACTTTTTTTGAATAGTATATATGGTTCTCAAACTGTAATTAGCAGATTGCAATGTATTATGTTTTACCTTATATCAAATAGATATTTTTATACGCCCACATTTTTATATGGACGTATATTGTCGTCACCCCTGTCCGTCCGGACGTCCATCCATAATTTGTTTGTGGACACTATACAGGTCACAATTCTTATCCGATTTTGGCGAGACTTGAAATATAGGTTTATCCCCAAAAGATCTAGGTTCCTTTCGATATTGGCATGTATCGGAGTGAAACTTCATGAATTATGGCCCCTGATTGTACGAAAAGTCACTTTTTTTTAGCGTGTGGACACTCTAGAGGTCACAATTATCATCTGGTTTCTTTCGATATTCGCGCTTATCGGATCTTAACTTTCTGAATTACGACCCTTGATTGTACGAAAAATCTCGTTTTTAGCTTGTGGTCCCTCTAGAGGTCACAATTTGTATCCGATTTTAAAAAAAAACGTTTGAATATATCACCGTTACTGATGATTGAGTTCGAATTTTCTGAAAATCTGATCGAAACTGCCGGACAAAATGGTCGCCCCTCGTACGCGAACTTTGAGAGAGTGAGAGAGAGAGAGAGAGAGAGTTTAACGTCCACTCGACACAAACTAGGTCATTAGTGTTTTGGAAACGAGGCTAATTGAGATGACGTCACGCGCTGGGTGGAAATTCTTGTATGAAAATTATAAAAATCAAATTATATTAAAATTGACTTGGGTGAAAATAATAAAAAAACAAATTATATTAAAATTGACTTGGGTGAAAATTATAAAAAAACAAATTATATTAAAATTGACTTGGGTGGAAATTAAAATTGACTTGGGTGAAAATTAAAATTGACTTGGGAGAAAATTATAAAAAACAAATTATATTAAAATTGTCTTGGGTGAAAATTATAAAAAACAAATTATATTAAAATTGACTTGGGTGAAAATTAAAATTGACTTGGGTGAAAATTATAAAAAAACAAATTATATTATTTTTCATGTCCCTTATCAGCCACCGTATATCTGGAAGTTTTCTCCCTTTTTTTCTGATAGGAGACTTTATTCCTATTCATTTATAGATTCTACATCAGAATCAGATTAACATGGTAATTCCGAATAAGAATTTTTCCAAAATGGTGCCTTCGGAATTTTTTCAGCAATTCCTGCAATATCAGGAATAAATCATTTTTAAACTAAAATTATTAAATTCTTTCTTAGTATATTATTTATTTCTGAAGTTCTTTGACCAAATAACATACTTTTTATGGAATAACAATTACTATGGTTTATTTCAACAGGATTTCACATGTCGTTATCAAACAAATACACACAAATAGATAAAATAAAATGAGAAAATATGAATATAATATATACAAACATCCTTATTGGTTTAGTTTACTTAACATTTTGAAAAAGAAAGAAAAAGGTTTATTCACTTACCTTGAATCCATAGTTGTAGTAAAGATGTAAAAAATCTTTGAATAATATCAATTTTAGCACAGAAATAGCAAAAAGACGTCTTATACTAATTCTAAAACTTGAAATGTGACAAAACAATAGATGTAACGTCATCCATTTCATAATCCCGTCGTTTTAATTGTGACGTCATAATGGGTAAACTTCGCATTTATAGCTGTTTACTACCTTATTCTCCAGATATCATATTTGTCTTATACGTGCAATGATACCTTTTATAAATTAATTTACATCTTATACATTTGTCAGTATACTTCCAGACTGCCATAACGGTATTGTTGTTTTGATAAAGCCGTACGACATTGGCGGTTGTGTTTACTGGTCATACATACTTCAAGGATAGGTTGCGAGGCAACGAAACACACGCCCACAGCAGCTAAATCGTCCGGCAGTCAACAAGTGTTGTCGCATATTTTTACTTTTTTCGGTAATGAAACATTTATAATACACTAAAATCTGATTAAGAGTAACAACTCATGAAGTAATTATCTGAAAACCATTAGAATTTGTTTGGTTTTTATAAAGTTCTGCCCCATGCTAACATTTGGTATACGAAACTTTTAATATTATGGATTTAGCTGTTCAAGTCATAAAAATTCATTGAAAATCAATATACTTGTTCGTCTCAAGATCTTAAACTCTATGTATCAATCTGAAGTCAATCGGATGATAACTTTAGCCTCTAGAGCATCACAAGATTTTTCAAAGTGATCAAGGGCCATAACTCTGACAGTAAATATCTGAAATCGCTGAAAATCAATAGGCCTCTTCGTCTCATGACCTTAAACACTGTGTATAAATTTAAAGTCAATCGGATATTAACTTTGGTCTCTAGAGCGTCCACAAGATTTTTAAAGTGATCAAGGACCATAACTCTGGCAGTAATTATCGAAAATCGCTGAAAATAAATAGACTTCTTCGTCTCACGACCTTAAACACTGTGTATCAATTTAAAGTCAATCGGATATTAACTTTAGCATCTAGAGCGTCCACAAGATTTTTCAAAGTGATCAAGGGCCATAACTCTGACAGTAATTATCTGAAATCGCTGAAAATCAATAGGCCTCTTCGTCTCATGACCTTAAACACTGTGTATAAATTTAAAGTCAATCGGATATTAACTTTAGCCTCTAGAGCGTCCACAAGCAATTGTGGACGCCGGACCGACGGACGGACCGACGACAATATACGACCACATTTCAATATGGGCGTATAAAAAGTACAATAGATACTGTATAAATCTATCTATACTAATATTTGTGACTGTCGTTTGTCTGTCTGTTTGTCTGTTCGGGGTTGGCGGCTACACTAGGTCTTCCCGAGTCTGAAATTTGGGGTATAGGGGTAGCTCCGACCGGGGAGTAACATAGGCCAGGTGGCGTTAGTCTACCACTTCCGGTTTCGGGGTTATGACCCCCGAGCGAAGCCGGGCATTCTTCTAGTATATACATATTTACACTAAACTACTCCAATGTAGCACCACCCACACAGGATTATTTATGTGGTTAAAAGTTGCACTAATTTCTCTGATCGATTTATGTGAAGGAGTGGGATACATGAATTCCCTACGGAACTACAATGGGTGTAAAAAGTTAAGAAAACTTACATGTTGAGCCTACAGTGTATTTACTGACGCAACACTTCCTTTCAACTGCACCAGAACATTTTGCCCCGATATATCTGCCGTTATTACATCTTTGTGCTGCATACTGACATCGTCCATCAGCGGCATGACATTCATGGTCACCCTCTGGCAAATGATATAAAGAAATATTTATAATCATGTTGGCTAAATCAGTGTAAACCTAATAGAAAACTAAACTAAATCCTCATCTTCATTAGCCCATATGGGAGCAGAACAGTAGGACGTTAAACCCCATTTCAGAAAACTAAACCTGGCCTAGTTCACCAAGAAACGGATAAATAATACTAGTGATTTGAAAGTTAAATGCTCTGTTATTGCATTAAGTGTGCATTTAATTAATAACTATAATACCGTAATAACATTAGTGACCGGGAAATCTAACTATAGAACCATAGACCTTTATGATAGATCCCTTGTCTGGGCGTACTCGCTGGGTTTTAGCTTGTAGTCGCATGACTTTAAAATAAAACCGGAACTACCCACATGACTTTAAAGTAAAACCATAACTTCTTACCCATATTATCAGAAACTATGCAGCAACGTCTTACATCTGAACTGGCACATAATCCTGCTATGGAAGTACCTTGACATGGTGTATTGTTGAACTGACAAACTCCACCTTTACGTGCCAAACATCTAGCGTCATTCGTTACTATAACAGACACAATTATTTTAGTTTAGACAAAAATGTTAAGAATGGCTATCATGGGTCAATATTGAATTCTAATTCGTGTTTTTAATTTCAAATATTATGGAAAATATTGAGTTAGAGACTTAGCTCCTTTAATTTTGCAAGAACTAAATCTGTCTATGAGGAGCCTCGTTTTTTGTTACTTTATCAACGAGTGTTGATATTTTTTGATATGAAAAAAGACGAGTAGTAGATTTTATTTATCACCCAACCCCTTCTTACATGCACAAATAGATAAATATAATTCTTTGCTGTAGATTTCACTTTTACTAAACATTACGGCGTAGTGAAACATCAATTTTGACAGCAATTCAACCATTGCAAAGTCCTTTTTATTGACCCAGTGTTTTCATCAAGGTCATTTGAATAACAGTAGTTCATTTTTAATAAAAAAAATTACTTTTAATAAGAAATGAACTGTTCTTTGAAAATAAAAAAAAGTAGTTCCTTTTCAACTGACCAATCAAATTCATGTAAAGCGATATCTCCTAAGGAGATATCACAGTAGATTATGAAATATATCACACAAACGATATCTACTGTAGAATGTATTATTGGGTGATAAAGCAGTGTTGCAATGGCTAGATCTATTTCTTAGATTTCGTCAAGGTCGCTGAGATGTAAATAAGGTTATTAGTGCACGCAATTGTTGGCGAGATCGTAGGTTAGGGTTGGGGCAAGCGTTAGGGCTAGGTCCAGGGATTAGCACTAGCCCTGTTTACATCTCGTGACTCTTGACCAAACTTTAACCTTGTGAAATAGATCTAACCACGTCGCAATATCCTGTAAGGGAGAAAAGAAAGACTCAATTTACCTGCTTGACATAAATCAAGAAATAATAAAATTGTAGCCCAGAATAATATCATATTTTCAAATAATCCTTCAAATCAAATACTCGTATCTCAATGTTTTTAAACCGTTTTGGGTATTCAGCAAAAATGAATTAAAAACCCAGTCTGATCACAGTCACAGTTAATTCCTTAAACTTAAAACACCATACAAACCAGTGTTCATATTATTTGCTTAAAGTCTCGTCAACATAATACTCTAGTCACTTTTAGACTAACATATTATTATAATTTTTACGCCTGCAATGCTATAGAGATGTTTATCCGCACAGCAACTTGCCCGCCTACTTCGAATTCGAACTGCCAAAAAGAAGTCTACCGTGTATTCAATTCACAATGATAAAATTGTCACTCCAGTATCCTTCAGTTTTAACAAATGTCACTAGGTAAATTCACTGAGTGCACCAGGTAATAAATCTTGATGATGACAAATCCAGTCATATTAAACCGTATATATTTAGTTTTTTTTAGCAAATAATGAAATACAGTTTGAAAGCCTGGCACGAGTGTATAAACGAATACTAAAGTATAAGGAGAGGACAAAACTGATGCACAGTGTTAATGTAAGGTGAGATGTCATGTGAATTTAGTTTATTAATAAATCAACCTGGTGTCACATTGTATAAATTTAAAGCGACTACCCAAATTAACAGTAGTCTACGTTCTTGTTTGACCCACTTTAAGCAAGTGTTGAACAATACATGTAAACCAGGAGAGTTAAGTGAGAGGGACGCAATGACGAGCTTTGTCTCGTGGTTTTGGGTTTCGCCTCCCCCCCCACCCCCCATTTGAGTCAAACATATACCGTGGGTCAGATGCTACAGATCGACTCTAGCATATTCCACACGTCCCTATGTTATCCGGTGGCACTGGGAAGGCCTTCCACCTCCCCCCTCTCCCGCACACACATAATATAAATAGTTTTGGGGGGGTCAGGACGGGTCTTGTTCCTCATGCAAAATCAAAGGTCACCAGGCCCTTGATGTAAACGTTGTACATGTATTCAGAAGTAGACCAGACGCGAACAGGTGCACGTCCAAAACCAGTTAATGACAAATAGTGACCGGGTTTTGTAGGAAGATTAACCGTGTCATTTTGATAGACACCACACGTCTATCATTATGAATTTCGTTTTGGATGCTTTGACCTGTGTCACTCAGGTCAGTTTTGTTACCGAGCGCTACAGTTTGTAACGAATGTCATGAACGTGGCAAGGTATGCCAAGTCTTCCTATAGTATAAGGGCCAGGCACCATGTGCCATATACCCGTCTTGTGGGTGTTCACGTTGATAACTGCTTGATGCACATTTTGGCATGTTGCATTGTCTGGAAATGTATCATGTTATTTAATGCATTGGGTCTTATTGGTGTAGAAATAATATATATATATAGTTTACTTAAAAGAAATGGAACGAAATTAAATGGAACGAAATGAAATAAAATAGGGTTTTAATCCCTACTGTTCTGCTCCGACTTAGCTATTGAAGATACGCCATAAAGTCACCCCCGTAGCCAGCCGACCATAGTTCTAAAATACCTACTGTTTGTAATAGACAGCAGTCAGGGATCACCACGTGGAGTATTGATTTGGGAATGTGGCACCTTGCACCTAGTCTCATATTATTGGTTATGTTCTGACATCTATCTGCCATATATTTTGTACTGACTTGCCCAATAACACACTGTCGTGGGGTCCCTGTCTTGTCACTATGTTCATTGTTCAGAGTTCGCTAGGGAACGATTTTCTGGGCTGAAAAACGCGATTGCAGCCGTCTAATTTCAAAATTGTCCGGGGGAGGAGGAGCAGTGACGGGTCATGGCTAGGGAAACAGAGGCAAATGCTTTGGGCCCGGGCTCTGAAGGAGCCTGGCTATTTGGTGACAAAGAAACAATAAGAAAGACCCATTTCCCCAAAATCGTGAAACATAGTGGCCTTTTTTCGACGAATTCTGAAATTATTTGTTAGGGGGACCCCGAAGGGAATCAGTCAGAAGAAAAAAATATGATATCAACGATTCCACGTTGGGTGGGTTAGCAGCGGGAAGTTGATATCAGAAATATTTCCATAACCCGAAACCCGAAATATTATTTCTGGCTGATAGGTCTTGTAAATTGCCCAATATTTCCGTCGGGCCCCCGCTTCTCACTCAACCAGCTCGCTTGACAAGAATCGCAAACCGATATCATAGGGTCCGGACTGGCAGTGGGACCCCCTTCCCACTTACCTGCACTCTGCGATAGCTTTTTCTGCTATGACTGCACGTCCAAGATATACTCCACAGACCACCATTTCAGGTCGTAATTTCAAAAGAATTCTGGAGGTGGAGGACTCCAAGCCCCCCTAAACTCCGAGAAGAGATACCCCTCCCCCCCTCCGCCATAAGATGTCCTCTTGCACCCCGGCACCCACCTTCGTCCGTTGCGAGCCCCCTCCCCCCCAAAAAAAGTCCACTGCCCCGTCGCAGTAGGCGCTGCGCCGCGGCTGCGGCTTACTCTTATATCGAATTCCAATTATCAAGGGTTTTTATACGTGTATGCAAATTTGTACACGGAACCTCTGTTCTTTTATCCCATCCGAACAATATAATTTAGTAATCAAAATAGTGTCATGTAAAAAAGACATCGGGATCGTATACAGGTGTGTGGTGACACTATGTCACGTGTGTGTCTGTATCTTTCCCTATAATCTTGTAATCTGCTTCAATCTTATCATTTCTGTTTTAGTTTTTTTTTAGGAAATGTCTTCTCAATTATATACGATAGCCGTTGTTTTAACAGGTTTTTTTTTTGGACTACGGGGCCCTCGGTTGATTGGTAAGAATCGTTACATTACATCGTTTGATGGAGTTATTTCCCTTTATTATCTAATTAACCAAAAGGTAAGATGTTTCTAATTGTCTCTGACAGTGGCGGACTGGATCTGAAAATATTGGTTGCCATGAGACTTAATGGGGGCCCACCTACCAATACAATTCTATCATTTAATTTTTAAAATGAATAAATTAAATTTTGAAAAAATATGGTAGTGGAAACAAAAAGATGTAATTAGAATTTTCCCGAGTTTGTTTTCTTTAGTAATTACAGTTTACAAGTACTGTAAATATAGTTTTAATTATGTTTTTCAAATTTCTAAATAATTGTTGGATATTTTCAAATAGTTTACTTGTACTGCACATTATACACATTAACAGATAGTTCAAAAGTACAAATGTATATTTCAAGCAGTCCACTATTATTAAGATCAAGCAGTCCATTATATTGGTCTGAAAAGATGATATGTTTTGACGATACAAAATACTAAATATATCACGCTAAATACGTAGATTAAATCAAATACATTGCATGTTGAGTACATTACTGAGAACCTACTAGTAGTACCTAAATTTTTCATGAATTTGTTGTATTAAGCTTATTTATATAATTTAACCCCTTCTCTATTTTGTTGGGGGATGGATGGCTGAATGGTTAGCACGTGCGCGCTGTATCATAAAGTCTGTCATTGAGTCAACTGTGACAAGGAGACCTCGTGGGTCTCCTTCGGGTCCTCCGGTTTCATCCCACTGCTAAAGACCCCTACGCGCAAATGAATTATGGAAATAAAATTGAACCATATGTTATTCCCGAAATTGCCTACTTTGTGTCGAGTGGATGTTAAACCCCATCCCTCTCTCTCTCTCTCTCTCTCTATTTTGTAAATGAAGGGGTTAAATATGCAAGTCAAAACAATAAATTCAGGAAAAATATATATATATATGTTGTTGTTTTCAGCGACACTGATCTTAGAAAAGAGGAAAGTAAACCTTGAACTAGATTTTGGGCCGAATACTTGACCCCAGTCTTATTAGGTTAGGTAGGCGAAACTCACTCCTTGTCACGTACAAGAGTGGGATGAAAAAAAACCGCTATTTGAATCGATGACAGACCTTAATATCTAAATGGCACGAGTTAGATCATTCGACCATCCAACCGTCGGTTTCTTTTGGAAATGAATATAGTGCAAATACCATAGCATACTGAATGAAATATTGAGTGAATGTCGATTAACCTGGTTCAGTTTATTTCTATATAAAGCTATATTATAATATTTACCTACTAATTGTCTCTCACGGCAAAAGCAAATTCATTTGAAATTCGACACTGGATACAAATATTACAAAAAGGGCGGATCCGGTGGATGCCCCCCCCCCCCCCCATATTCATATATGCCAAAACAATCGCCAAATAACAAATAGGGCGGACATAGTCATAAGCAATACATTTTCGCATCGCTGTTTGACGTCGAACGATATGCTAGTCGAAGGACAGCCCCCCCCCCCCCGCGCACACACCTCCAAAAATGGCAGATATAGTCGTTAAGCAATACATTTTTGCAACGCCTTGTTCGACCCCACACACCCACCTCACCCTCCACGCCCATGGCAGGTCCGTTCGCACTATGTAGAGCTGAAAGATTATAATAAAACACGTTATTAGCCTAATGATTGTTGTTGAGATTCGTCTGGATTGTTCAATATTTATATACACCTACCAGGTACATTTTTTTTTTGTTATAATAAAATGGCATCATAAGATAAATAATACGGATGTTTTGTTCATACAGAGACTGTTGTTTATCTGATCGTCGGTCTGATCAGTTATTTTATTCTCCGCCCGTACTGGATTATATATCTGGTAAGTTAAAGGAGCTAAATCACTAACATTTGGGACCTAGAAATTGACACAAATGGGCCGCAACGCATATAATAATGTAATATGAATGTATATAAACTGATTTACATTCAATCGTTTCCGTTTTTACTCTAATTTCAAATCAGTTATGTTCGACGAAATACGCCAGAAGTCTTAATCGTATTTATTGCGCATACTCTCCAGATAAGAAAATGGCGTCACCGTTTGACATGACTTCTGGAATATTTCTAGCTTCGTTCTTCAGGTCCCTTGTTACAAATGATGCTAAAACGCAATTATGGTACACCATTCGTGTACCAATGGTAAAATTTTTATTTTGTCTTAAATATTGGATATCAGAAGCCCACCATTTCCCGGTAAGATCACAACATCAATGTTGATTTAAATTGACAAATAATTTGTGTTTTCAATGTTCAAGACTTTGGTTGATATTGAGCTAGAGACTTGGCTACTTTAACATCAACTATCGTAAACAGTTAATTAGCCTAGTCGATCTAGCACTGAAACTGCTCAAGTTGAAAATGTATTGTAATGTAAAAGGTTGAAAATGTATTGTGATATGTAAGATATGTTGTGATGTGTATTGTGATGTGTTATATTGAATATATATTGTAATGTGTTATATTGAATATATATTGTAATGTGTAATATATTACATAAAATGAATAATACTAAATGTGGAATATATTGCATAAAATGTGGAATATATTGCATACATTGTGTACTATATTACATAAAATATGTAATATATTGCATAAAATGTGTAATTTTGAATATGTAATGTAATATAAAA